CCTGCCCCTGTGCACTGCTTATCTGGGAGCCTTTGATCTGGTGCTCATCTGGTGGCTCCTGCCACTCATCTGGGAGGGCAGGCACATGTCCCCGGATCTGCACACAGTGAGTATGCTGGGAAGAGACCCACACAGCCCCAGCCTGCCATTGCAGCCGACCTGCCCCGCCCCACCCACCCAGATCTGGGGGCACGTGCTTCTCCCTTCCGCCCCCCCAAGCCCTCCCAGACGAGTGGCAGAAGCAGTGGCAGGAGCCATGAGACAGGCAGGCAAGGACCGGACCAGCGGTTCCCAGATGAGCAGCGCCTGGGCAAGCTGTAGCTCTGTCCTGCACCTGGCTGGCCAGCAAGTGCCCTGCCCTGGCTGACCAACACTTGCCCCAGCTCCACTCCTCCCTCACTGCAGGGGCATTGATATGCCCCCACATGCCCCTTCCCTCCCCCCTCCTCTTCCACCGCACCAGACTTACAAGGCTCTACTCCTCACTGCCCGTTCCTCACTGCCTATGTGCTGCTCTGTGGCTGCACATATGCACAAGCATTTATCAGCCAAATTATTGGCCACATCAGGCCAATTTCCAATGCAATCAATTTTCTTAATATCAATGCCAATCCATATTGGACCAATGTATCAGTGCACCTCTAGTACTTACTTTAGAGCTGGTGCTATTGAGCTTTAGTTTTTATGTGTATTAAGGTCTCCCCTGCCAGTGGGAGCCCTGTCAGCTGATGGGGCTTCCAGCTGCAGGGGTGCACCATGCCCAGTGAAAATCCCTGAGCACTAGGGATCACAGCAGCCCTAATCCCCAGGGTCCAGGGGTTTCATGCATCCCTGAACCATAGGGGCTGTGGCAGTATGAAACCCCTGGACCCTGAGGACTGCCGGTAGCTGCAATCCCTAGGTCTCTGTGTTGCAGGAAGCAGCTGGGGCTGGGGGTCACTGCAGGGATGATTTCTACCCCCATCTCCCCCTGCAGTTCTTTGGCCCCAGGGATTTCCTTGCACCCCTGGGATCAGGGATTGCTTGTGCCACAGTTCTCCAGCCCTGAGTGCTTCCTACACCCCCTGGGACAGGGGGATCACCCCTGTGGTGATCCTCCAGCCCAGAGATGTCCCCACACCTCTGGGGCAGGGGGATTGCTGCAGCAGGGATCCTCCAGCCTCAGATCTACATGGGCACCTGTGTAGTCAGGAGCCTGTAAACTGGTGTGCATGGGGCTCCTAGCCATGGGAGTCTGCTTCTTGCCAGTGCAGGGGGAGTCTGGGATCAGGCTCCCCCTGCACTGGCAATAAGGTGTGATGGATTTTAATGCATAATCTCACGACTGCGCCTCCTGCCACACATGTGGTATGGCAGGAGGAACTATTGTGTGAATCACGCATTAGATCCCATTGTGCCTTTCCCTGTAGATATAGAAAGGGCCTAAGAATAACAGTCTTCCCCTGCAGTGTTCTTGGAGGCTTTTTTTAAGGCAGCTGACAAATTGTCCTAAAGATTTTATCTTAGCTTAGTTGTGTGGTATCTTAGCTTTGAGAATTCTTAGTTTTTAAAGCCCATGAGGAGTATATCAGGGAAATTTCTCACCTTAATATTTAGCTTTATAATGGCCATTTGCTTGGCCAGGAAATGGAGGAAACTTCATGTTCTTTCATGCAGGATATCCTTACCTGTTTTTTTTTCGGAACAAGAGAGTAAATACAAGTCAGAATGTAAAATGCAAAATGTAACTCCCTTCCATCTCTGTGTCTTCAATCAACAGTGAGTTCAGTTGATTGCAGTTGCAAATGATAGCATTTAGACCTTGATTTGCCAGTGAAATCAAGTAGTAAGATTCAAATGGTATAATTTATGCTTATAATTGTTTGGTGTAAAAATAGATTTTTTTTTAATTGGCCAAGTGTTCCTGAATTCATTTGAAGAGGTAGTTTCTCTTTTCTGTACAAGTTGAAAATGTGTTGTCCCTGTGTTCTGTCAGGCCTGGTGAAATTGCCTGGAAGAAAATATTTTCATATGTTCTGTATAACAAAGTGTTCACATTCCCTATCTGAGGAGATATTTGGATAGTAGAACCCCATTTTTTTATTTTTGTGAGGTACCAAAAATATATATATGATGGTATTTAAAACTTAGGAATCTTGGCCAAGATTTACAGAGTCCTAAATCCACATTTAGTACCTTTTGTAAGACTCACAGAAACTTACTTTGGAGTAATTTTAGAAAAGCTATTTTAGAAAACTCTTGCTGATTTTGTGGCTTTATTAAGCAAAGTATGTTGCATAGGATAAAAAGGACAAAGGTTCCCCTTAGCCTAGAAGCCCATTTGGCTAGTATGGTTAACGTACAACAGTTTCTATAGCCAACACGCACAAGGGAGTGATGTGGCTAACGTGATATTCAGTCACCTTTGACCCCTGGGCTGAATGACCAGGAAGGTGCCAGGACAAATAGGTTGTCTGCATTTATCAAAGGATGCTTTGGGATAAAGTTGACTATAACTGCAAAAATATGATCTATACACTGGTGTATAGTTACTCTTGACTTTCTATGAGCTAACTTTACCCTAGAGTAGAGTGACTTACAGTGACATACATCATGTGTCTGTTCCCCATATACACTAATGTGTGCCCACACCTATGCTTATGTTATTAATCTTTATGCAACATTTTGTGCAGATGTTACTCTCAGAAGCCAGATCTGTATTTTCTTCTAGGTGGGCAGTCCTGTAAACACAAATGTAAAAGATCCCAATGTGTAAGCAGTATAGAGAAATATTTGTAAATGATAAATTCTTAACTATCAGTTTAACTTCTCAAAGTCCCTTTTTATCAGTCTAGAAGTCATACCCAGATCTGTTGGACTTTGACTTGATTTTTAAATTAATAAAAATAAAAATATTATTGAATGGGAAGTCTGAGCGTCCACATCCCATTATGAGGAGAATTGATTCAAGGAGCATTTTTATTTTCTTTATCAGATGACAGGACTTTAATCCAAGGTATTGTCACTGTAATGCAATTGTCCCTCTGTTAGGGGGCTATATATTGCCCTTGAGGGGAGTGGGGCATATGATCTAATAGAAGATTTTAATTTCTAACTATTTGATCCTGTCTTTGGATTGGCATAGTTCCTTGGTTTAATAAATATCAGTGCTTAGTTGAGATCATTTGACAAACATCTGGGCATAAATCAGTAACTGGGCATAAATTATGCTCTAAGTAACCAAACAGTTAAAAGCTTTTGAGGTGATAAAAAGAAACTATATGGAGTTATTGTCTCCCAAATTTCAGTTTTAAAAGTAATTTTGAATAATACCTATATATAATTGGTGAGTCTGATATTGGCAACAGAATGGTTAAGATAATTTTTAAAACGCCTTTGCTTCCAGGTCTACTCATCATATTTACTTATGTACCACACACACCTTTTCCCCAGAAAAGAGCCCTCCAAAATTGGGGGAGGGCATGTGCTGAGCGAGGAAACTGATTTTCTAGACTGGGACTGAAGCATGTAATGACTACCACCGGCTGTGTTTCTTTCCCAGTGCAAGAGGGAGGGGCAGAGTGCACCCTTTAGGACCACAGTTACCGTATATCATAGTATATAAGCCAAACCCATATTTCTGATCAAAAAAGTTAGGATTTTTGTAGATCCAGTGTATAGGTTGACCCACATTTTATAATGATCCATTTGTAAAAAATTCCATGTACAGTAAGTATTCTCTTGTAGCGGGAAGAATTCAGAATGAACAATTGCCCCCGTGATTGTTTCTGACAATGGTCGTGCCAACTACCACAAGTGACAGGTTATGTGCAATGAACAATTTCCCAAGTACAATTTAAAATCTATCAGTCATTTTCATCATCAGAAGTGTCGTCCCCAAACAGTTGCATCCAATCATCCAAATGATTAATTGATCATCATATGGATCCTTGACATTGGAAGTTTCAGTTTATATCAGAAGTTTCACGTAATTAGAGTGATCATGCCTGTTTCAAAGGCAAACAAAATTTGAAACACAATATTTTTTTATTTCAAAGTATTGATGCAGTGTATAAGTTGAGGTGGACATTTAAGGGTACATATTTTGGCTTCAAACTTTGACTTGTACATCATGAAATATGGTAGTTTTAGTTCTGTTATGTCTGCTGAGCAATAGAACTGTAGTTGTGAAGCTGCAGCCAGAATTGGAGTGATGCTGAGTGTGGGTGCTGCCACCCATTCAGCCATGTTGAGCCCATGCTATAGTAGTTAAGGTTCTGGAGGGTGGGGAAGTATTTCTTCATTCTTCCCTCCCTAGACAAGTTGTGTGAATTATTTGGGAGGATGGGGTATGTGAGTAAACAGAGTGTGTCAAATACCAAAATGTAGTGATATTTTGGAGCACTTTAATGATGGTTAAAGTATTGACAGAACTTTAAATGCAGCAAATAGTGAGCAAAACCGTACTGAAAACTAATAAAGTATAGATGTACATTTAATTGATGTAATTCATTTTCTTTAGTGGAAAGACCTAAAATATTTGAATGTTTGACCAGAATAATTATGACCACTCTTCTATCCATATATGTCTGTGTGTATGCGTATATATAATAAACTCTTAGAGTTGCTGGTTTTGTTTCACTAGACACAGTGATTTCTTTTTTAACTATCTTCAGGCATCCCCAGTTCAGCCCACGCCACAAACCCAAAATACGGGTGGCCGTCGAAGAAGAGCAGCAAATGAAGATCCTGATGAGAAAAGAAGAAAGTTTTTAGAACGAAACCGTGCTGCTGCTTCAAGATGTCGACAAAAAAGAAAAGTCTGGGTGCAGTCACTAGAGAAAAAAGCAGAAGACTTAAGCTCCCTGAATGGCCAGTTACAGGTACTGTCTTTTCCGTATTTTTGTTTAATAATCTGGAATCATGGAGCACACATTCTGTAAGGGGTTTAAAATATGAATAGTTTTCTAAAAGACAGTTGAATAGATAAGTTAGGAATTAAACTATAAACACTTTTATTGTTAAGGTATATTAAGAATGTAAGGGAACATAACTTCTAAGATTTGGGAAATTTGGGATCTTGCCCACTTGGCCTCATTCATGCTGTAATGTGAGAAAATACGGTATTTCTATTTATAAACTTGCTGTTATCTGTTTTTATAGCATTTATGTGAGGTGCTATATTTTTTCCAGGCATCACTGTATTATAGGATACTGAAGTTCAAGACTGTTACTGTATTAAAGAAACATTTATAGAGTGGTGATTGATTGGGGGAGACACTAGTACAATTATATTCAAATATACTGTTTGGATTGTGATATAATGAATGTTTCTTGAAGCTGGATGACAACTTTGCATCCTTTGCTCAAGTATAAATTTTCTTGTGTGCAATAGGCTTAGATCTTAGGTGACACCAAGAAGCCTTGAAGATGAGGAGGTATAGTTAGTTTAATACTCTGTAGCCTTGGACTTGACATCTCTAACCAAACCTTC